TCAGTAACACAAGTTTCTACCTTAAGAAACTATAAAAAGAGCAAACTAAACACAAAGCAAGCAGAAAGATATAATAAAGATTAGAATGGAAATCAATGAAATAGAAAACAGAAAAACAATAAATAAAATCAATGAAATAAAGAGTTGGTTGTTAATTTGTAATTTAAAATTTTCCCAAAAAGAAAAATCCAGGAACACATAACTTCATCAGTGAATTCTACCAAATATTAAAAGAATAATACTAGTCCTTCAAAAACTCAGAAAATATAAGGAACGCTTCTCAACTCAATCTAAGATGCCAATATTATCATAAAACCAAAGCCAGACAAAGAATTAGGCAGGAAAATTAATTAAGGGGAGTTTCTAAGTTTGCCTGTAAAGGCACTAAGGTAATAGCTGACCTGGAAATGTCCCAACACCTTCAGGTCTTAGGGAGAATCCCCTGCCACATCACTAGAGAAATTTTAGAAAAAGGCCTCATCCTTTTAGAGAATTAGGTCCACCCCCTTCAGCCAGAAGAAAAAGTACAGGTTAAAAGACTGGAAGAAGAAGCCGCTGTAACCAAGTTATACAGGTAATCCTATGCTGTAAAAGACTAAAACCAAGAAAAAGTACTATAAATTTTCATCCAGTGTATTACCCTAAATTAAAGCAACCTAGAGTCAGGAACTGAAAATATTGTGTGAAATGTCTGCTAAAATGTGTTTCATAATTTGGTTTCGCTAAAGTGTTCATTAGCCTAACATAATAGGTGTTATTAGACCATAAAATTGTCAAATTTACAAAGGATTTTGGCCCAATATGACAGATTCTATGAGTATTACAATTATGTTATACTAATTTAATAGCATTCCCTCTGTTTTGCCTAGTTTGTCAGTATGATTAAGCATAAAGACCAGCCATCTGGACTGTCCAGATATTCATCACAGTCAACTCCTACAGAAATCCTTTCGTAGATGGCGCAGACAGATTTCATCAGCTCCTATAAAGACAACATGCCCTGCTCCAGCCACAAACCGGAAGCTGGCTGGTCTATGCACAGCCAAAGCTTGAGGAATTTTATCGTGAAACTCCTTAGAATTGGACACTGCAGAAAGAGGGAAATTAGAGCAGAAAACTGTAAGTTGTGCATCCATGTCAATAAAGGGGGGGGGGAGTCAAAGAATTTTCCATAGTCACTATGAATGTGAGAGAACTCAAAAAGGGACCTGTATCTACAACTAGACTCAATATTCAGTATGTAATCCAGGAGGTAATCAGCTTTATGTATGTTAACCGCTAACACTATTGTACAGTCTTCCTGTTACTCAGGGAAAAGAAATTCTGAGCAAGCAGTTTTAGAGATCACTACTAACGAAACTAGGAGAGCCCTGACCCTCCTTGCACATCAACAACTCAGATGAGAAATGCCACCTACCAAAATAAATTGGCACTAGATTATCTGTTAACAGCAGAAAAAGGCATGCATAGGAAATTCAATCTAACTATTGTATACAGATAGATAACCAGGGCCAGGACAATGTGGAACAAATAACACACTGGCACATGTACCTGTGCAAATATGGCATGGATAAGACCCTGATAACTTCTTTAAAGGTTAGTTCTCTACTTTCAGAGGTGATTCACTAGCTTGGAGGTAACAAAGGTATATCTTCCGCAGCCATGCTGGACGTGGCAGGATTTACCACTTGCTGGATACAGCAAGTGGCATCCAAACAAGAAGATGTAAATAAGGTAAGGAGACGCCTACAGGAAGAGCATAAAAAAAAGA